TACACTATCATCATTTCAAAGCAATTGTCCCTGGACTAGTATGCAAGCTATTGACTACTAGTCCATGGTGAATTTCCAGAAAATAAATAATTGTAGTCAGTGGGCACGGATACAATACCAGTCCTTGGCCCTCCCTCCATCTTAACTGCCACCACCATGGCCTTGGAGGGAGAGAAGAACCGGCAGTATGTGCTGGACTTGATCCCCTTCCCCGTTGCCATTCCTTTCTCCTTTTGTGTCATGTCTTTTTGGATTGTAAGCTTCAGTGCAGGGAACTGTCAAATTAGCAATCTGTAAACTGCTCCGAGAGTCTTTGTGGCTGAGGAATGGGATATAAATACCCAAAATAAAATAAAATAAAATAACATGGGGAGGGAAACCTGCTGATCCCCCATATCAGATAGATTAAGAAGTACTGTTGTAAGCTATATTTCAGAGGGAAGCAGTGGAAAACCACCTCTGAGTATTCCTTGGCTAAGAAAATCCTAGGAAATTCATGGGTTCCCCATAAACTGACAGGCGACAAAAGCACATACTTTACTCTGAGCTGGGTGACAAGTGCCCACAATTAAATTCTGAATGGGGAACTTGGAAGAAGTATACTGGCAGCTTCATACTTCAGAAGGTAATGGTGACTGATTCTTCCCTTGAAGTAGCAAAACAAAAGCTATTGACCAGAACTGTCTACAGTTTAAGAACATGGGAAGAGTGCTGCTGGATCAGACGAAAAACCTATCTAGTCCAACACTCTGTCCACCATAATGGTAAACCCAATGCCAAGGAAAAACTTATAAATAAGAAATGAGGACACCATTATTCTCCTGCTTTTGATCTCCAGAAACCAGTTTTGAAAGCCATACTGCCTCTGAAATGGGAGGTGATCTATATCCATCATGATTAGTAACCATTGCTTGCTTGCTTAATGTGACACAAGAACCTAGTTCTTTGTGCTGCTAATTCTGTCAATTCACCCAGGGTGTGATCTGTTCAAACAAAATAAATAAATAAATAAATAGAACATAAATGGAGGAAGCTGTATCTGATAAACTAAAGAAATGGAATTTGCTTCAAAGGCTGAAAACTATGCTCAGTTGACAAGAGTCATTAATCCATTTCGCTATCAGTTCTGTGGAAGGGGCACCCACCCTTGTTTGCCAGCATCCACCTATGGCATAAGCAAACTTTGCCAAAACAAATAGAAAAACCTAGTGCCCTGTCAGAGCCAACATCTTCCTGCCATTCTGAAAATGAATACTCTCTGGGCACATGCACACAGACCTCACTAGAATTTGATTTAATTTCTAATCTCCTTCCAGCTTCTTCTGAAAAGCTGGACTGAACAATATATCCAAATAAATACTTTATTGCTCAAAACATGCAGGAGAT